ATATTTGTATTCCCTCGTTTATTCCTTTTATAAAAAAAAGATAACATTTTATGCGAACTTTATCTTTGTTATATATTTTAATATTTATATATTAAAAAAAGCTATAGTATGTGTAAAACAATGACAGATGCTTTCAAGTTAAAGAGGTTAGGGTGTTATAATAAATGCATTACATTTTTACTTAAATCAAATCGCATTGACAGTGATTTAGAATTGATTTAAATGTTATATAAAAAATAGTTTTATTATTATTATTTTAGGGATACTATACATAGAATTGATTTAAATGTTATATAACAAATAGTTTTATTATTATTATTAAAGGGATACTATACATCGCAACTAATAAACCAAACCAGATTGTGCTAACATCAATGTCTTAACCTACTATTTGCTATATTGATTTTTAATCTTATATAAGTTTAAGCTATCAAAATATTTTATTTTATAATAATATATTTAAAATAACACATATGTAGAATTCTTAAGATGCAATTATTTGTAAATTTATAATTTTTTTATACAAGTAACAAAAAAATAATCTTTATCATTAATGTATTTCTATGACATATATACCCATGTCTTTACTATCCAAATTTTAACTGATTTTTAAGCTAATATAACTTATTATATATTGTACTAACACTTTTTTTAATTTTTTATTGTTTAAAACAAGTTTAATCAAAATTCTTTTCTTTTATAGTTTTAAAGGATATTTAAAATATTTCTACAGAAGTGTTTTCAGAAACTTATTAAAGATGTTAGCTAGCACTATAAGCATGCAATATATATAAAACATTATATATAACTTAATTATGGCATGCTTGTTTGGGTATATTTAAGTAATTAAGAGAATGTTAAAATTAATATTAATATTAACTCACAAATAAATAAATATTTCGTAGTTGTAAAAATACAGCACTTACATCGACATAAGTACAGCACTTATATCGAATGTACCATTTTCAATGCCTTTACCTAATAACAGTGTCGCCAAAGAAAGACAAATTGAGGTTTTGAGTTTAATATCCTAATTTTTTGATGATCTTGAATTCTGATATATTTTTTCATTTATTGCAAAAAGAAATGTTTAATATATTTTTTAACAGGTATTTAAAATTATATTTCAATTTGCATATTATTTTTTTTTAATTAAAATATAAACAAAATCTATATCGACACATTCATAAAATGGTCATATGGGATTTCGTTCAAAAATAATTGACACAAGAAATGATTAATAGCTAGAAATTAAATGTGCAGTAAAAATAAATATAATAAATTATGTAATAGAAATGATATCAATTAATAATTTAATTACCAATATTATTAACATTTTTAATATTAATAAAAATAAATTTTACTATAAATTACACGTTATATATAAGAGAATTACATAGTGAGAGATGATATAAATAAAAGTGAAAACGAAAATCCAATTAATATGAATACACACTGAAAATTTAGTATAAAAATTTTTGGAGAGAAGAAGAAGCACATAGAATGAGAGTTCGAAGCATGGTGACACAAAATATTTTGCCCATTTGAAAGTCATGAGGCAATAAAAAAAAGACATTTATGAATAAGCAGTTTATTTAGTCTTTTTAAATATATTTATTAATATTGTTTTATTGATAAAAATAGTATATAATTTATGAATATAATTATTATATTTTTTTGCTTATATTGTGTTAGTGCTGCAAGCTGTGGCTGTGGGTACAATGAAAATATTTACACTTTGCAAAGTATGGCATAATTTACACAAAATCACTAATTAAAAGCAAAATCACAGCAGAGGCAGAAATAAATGTCCAACAAACCAGCGAGAGTTAAATACAGAAAATGAGTACCGATTACGTATTGAGAAAGTAGGTGAGAGCATATTAAACGAAGATTCTGCCGCACAGCATAGCACAGCACAGCAAAGCAAATCTACATTCAACATCTGGACTAAATTGAATGGTTAGTTGGGTGGTGATGGGGTTACGATACAACTATGACATTAATGTCTGGTAAGATGAATCAAAATTTATTTTTATGCCTTTTTTGTTATAAGCTTTATTGCAAAATATTTCTAAAAATATGTTTAATATAGATATTAGCATTTAAAATTTATTATTATAAAATATTTTAGCTATGTATTCATATTTATTTTTCGGTTATTTTGATTTTGTGATTTTGACTTTATATACTATCAAGGTCTTCTCTGATAAGTGTTCATGTTTTGTTTTGTTTTTTATGTTAATCGGTCAATGTACTAATAAAATAGTTGTTTTTATTATTGGTAATCTATTTAAATCTATATAGTCTATAGTGTTTCATCAACATTAATAGAATATTATTTTATTTATTCAAATTTGGTAAGAATGTACCAGGATTTTGGAACTAGGTATGGAATATAAAAATATTTGTTCTTTTTTCGATTTTTTCGATAAATTATAAACTTTTATTTCTATGATTACATTCTAGTATATATCTTACAATTGCAATACTATAACCCTGTAATGCAGTGTCGATCGTACAGAATAGTTGACTTTACGAAATATGGTTTTGAATAAATTAGAAATGCAGTTCAGGCGTTCAATATGCTTCCAGAAATAACACCAAGACTAGAAGTACATTGGTTTTCTAAAATTTAATTGTTAATTATTAAATATCTTATGGTTATTACCAGTGGTATTGGCCTAAGAATTAACAAAAAAAAAACAAAATCACTCACAATCGAAAAGGATAGGTCTCTTATAAAACTATAAAATCGTTGACAGGTTTTGTTATCTCCTCAGAGTTGTGTCGAAAGAAGATAAGTGAAGGAGTGGCGTATAGTTAAGCGTTAGCACGTATAGGAAAAATTTGACATGTAGCCATAAAAAACAAACTTATTCAGATTTAAATCGAAGTAGTTCGAGACGAATAGTTTTGACATAAACTTCCAATAAGTGAATATGGTATAAAATGCCATCTGGTCAATAACTATCTCTTAATGTGATTTACTTAACGTTCACAAGCGTACAGATTGTCAAAAATCAAGGTTACAAGCTTCGAAACTAAAAGATTTATACTACATTTAGATGTATTTAATAATATGAGTGGATATTAAATTGTAAATGTAGGTAACATTTTTTAAGATTATCTACTAAGATTATTTTTATAGTTTCATCATTATTAAAACTATTTTTATATAGCTTATAATATGAATGTTACAGTTTTTTATGAAGGTCTTAGGGACAATTATTCATAAAATTTTCTGACTTTATTCCTATTTAAGTCATTTTTGGGTCTTAAGTTACAGTTGCAAAATTGATTCTTATTCCATATCTTAGGGTTAAGCAGTAAAATGTACAAGATTGCACAAACGACTGAGGATGGAATGAAAAGGATGATTCATAAAATGAGTTGGAGATTTAACAAAATATTCTATGATTACTTTTACATCTTGCGTTCATGAAGCAAATAAAGGTCCAGTAATGACTAATTAACACATGAAGAATCGTTGTTAGCAGTACGGATAATAATCTTTATAATAATTAATATTAAAATTTAAATTAATTTAATCTGATATATTGAATATATAATATCCATTAGGTTTTATTTTTAATAACACTTAAACTTTTTCATCGAGTTATTTCATCAAAAAACACATATCTTTTGCCTTTTTTATTTGCAACCAAAACGGACTATTCCCAATGCATTTATATATTCACACATTGAAAATAATTTTATAAACATAAATATATTTGCTAAATTCATAATAAATTTAATGACAATAAAATGGAAATTAATTTTATCGGGCACCTTCTGCATTGGAATTACAGCCTTTTGGTGAGAGATGAGTGTGAGGTTAAGATTATAGAAATTTCACTAAACGATATCCTTACCTTTCATTCTGAAGAATCAATCGCAAAAATCATTAATTCTAAACACTATTTATATAAAGTTGATATCTTATTAGTTTTAAGCACATAAAAAATTTAATTACGTTAGTTTATTCTCTTTTGCACGCGTATGTGTCAAAATCAAGCAAAAAAATTTTTCTGAGTTTTCTGAATTTATTGACAATTTATTCCTTATTCGCACAAATTTCGTTTATATTATTTTGCCATTTACCAACTACAAAAACTTTTTGTTTTCAGCCTTTGTTATACATTTATATCAAAAATTTTGTTATATATTGTGTATTATAAACAAATAAATACATTTATTCATAAGATTAATAATATTTTGGCTTCTATTAAATGCATGTATTGAATTTTCTTTTGTTTCTTGATATATAAAAACACTTACTAACTTGTTATAACTTTGATAAATTTGATTTCTACTTTAAATTGATCACTTAGAACTTTATATTTTTTTAACAATATATATAATAAATGCGACGACAATGATGTTAATAATTCTATTCGTTTTACGCAGTTGATTACTTTTCAGAAGTGGTTACTTTTTCATGATGTATTAAGAAATGCCAAGAGAAAACAAAATGCACTTACAGTGCTGCCATATCACTGTATACAGTGCTTGCGTTTATTACATATGTGGGGTAGTGTATTTCTGTTAATATTGACAAAATTATATCATTATGTTTTTGAAACTGTTACTAGATTAATACTATCGTAATTAATACAAGATTCGTTTTTTAATTTTAGCTGTTAATTGTTGTTGCTTTCATTGCGAAATGATATTTTTGATAGCTAAAATTCCAAACAAAACTCTTGTGTAAATCCAGTATAACTCGACAAATATGCAGTAATGTGTCACACATACAAAATATGCTAACTAGAATTGATCATTTGTATGGAAGTGTAGTGTATGTGTAATACTTTTGTACAATTTACGAAACCATGAACTATGAAAATTGTTCCATATAACTTATTTTAATAAAGCATATGTTTAAATCACCAATTGTTTGTTGCATTAAACAAAAGATGAAACTATTCATTTTATAGATGAAAATCCTTTAATATATTATCCGTTATAATAGATTTTGAACTTTTTGACCGTTCGTTGTGTCGTAGCAGTTTCAGTTTGTTTCGCATCAGTGCTCCTTTACACAAGCCAAACTATTTTTGTTGTGTTGTTTTATGTTTATTTTCCGTTGTGATTCAAGCGAACGAGGAACAAAGCGAAAATTAGAAAAGACCATGAATAATTTCTTCTGAAGTAGAAATTTTACAACGCGAAAATTTAATATATTTAATACAAATTTAATACGAATTAAATATTGTAAAAGGGAACATATGTTGCAACGAAATTAGAAATAAAAAAAATCGAAAAACGAAGTGTTTTATTCGTAAATTTGAAGTGGAAGAGATACAAAAGAAATAAAAGAGAAACTCCCTTTAAAATATTACAGAAAATTTAAAAATTGCATAAATTATAAACATAATGTCGTCTTTATCAGCATCTGCTGAAAATGTGTCAAGTGCTATGGATTCGCACTCACAAGGTGCTGCTGGTTCGTCTGAGGGCGGTTCTTCGATGTGTCTTGAACTGGCACTAGAGGGCGAGCGATTGTGCAAAGCAGGTGATTGCAGAGCAGGAGTGGCATTTTTTCAAGCTGCCATACAAGCTGGCACAAATGATCTGCGTACGTTATCTGCAATTTACTCACAACTAGGAAATGCATACTTTTATCTTGGAGACTATTCAAAAGCAATGCAATATCATAAACTAGATTTAACCTTAGCCCGTTCAATGAATGATAAGTTAGGCGAAGCAAAGTCATCTGGAAATTTGGGAAATACTTTAAAGGTTAGTTAAAAGTTAAAAAATACTTTAAATTATTTATTGAACATTTATATTAAATAAATATTTACAGGTAATGGGTCGTTTTGATGAAGCTGCTATATGTTGTGAGCGTCATTTAACATTGGCGCGTCAGTTAGGCGATAAATTGTCAGAAGGTCGAGCGCTTTACAATTTGGGCAATGTTTATCATGCGAAAGGTAAACATATGGGTCAAAGAAATCCTGGTGACTTTGGCGATGATGTAAAGGAAGCATTAACAAAAGCTGTTGATTTCTATCAAGAAAATTTGAAATTGATGCGAGATCTAGGAGATAGGGGAGCTCAAGGACGTGCTTGCGGCAATTTAGGAAACACATATTATTTATTAGGTACTTTTTTTGTAATATTGTATTCATATATTTATGTTTATCTACAAATAATGAAAATATATTTGCAGGTGATTTTCAAGCTGCTATAGAACATCATCAGGAACGTTTACGTATTGCACGTGAATTTGGTGATAAAGCTGCTGAAAGACGTGCAAATAGTAACTTAGGCAATTCTCATATCTTTCTTGGACAATTTGAATCCGCAGCAGACCATTATAAGCGTACATTGGCGCTTGCCATTGAGTTAGGTGAACATGAAGTAGAAGCGCAATCATGTTATAGTCTTGGCAACACTTACACATTATTGCGCGAGTTTGCAACTGCTATCGATTTTCATCATCGACACTTAGCAATAGCACAGGAACTGGGAGACAGAGTAGGTGAGGCACGCGCATGTTGGTCATTAGGCAATGCGCACTCCGCAATTGGTAATCATGAAAAAGCCTTACAGTTCGCCGATGCGCATTTGCAGCTGGCTAAAGAACTACAAGATCCGGTTGGAGAGAGCACAGCACGTGTAAATATATCTGATTTACGCAAACTACTTGGCTTGCCAGAAGTAGAACACTCTCCAATTGACACTCGTTCAAGTAATTCTGATTTATCGAATGCTGGACACCAATCAGATTGTTCAGAAAGCTCCCAAGGACGTATGGTAAGTACATTTATAATGCAATAATAATTTTCTGGAATGTACAATTTTTTTATAAATAAATTTATAGATACGTGTACGCCGTCAGAGTATGGAACAATTAGATCTTATTAAAATAACGCCAGATGGCAAACGTGCACAAACACAGGATGATAAACATGTTCAAAAACCACCAACGGTAAAAGGTAAAGCACAAGATGATGATTTCTTTGAAATGCTTTCTCGATCACAATCAAAACGCATGGATGATCAACGTTGCTCTATAAAAATTACTAAAAACCCTTCAGTGAATGCAATTTCAACAGCTTTAGGTGCCACAAGAAAACCGTTAACACAACAAAACTCTCAAAATTCAACAGGTAGTGGGGAACTAACAGGAAGTGGTGCATTGCCAGGATTAAAAAACACTACTGGTAGTGGTGGATCAACATCTGGTCACGGACATCTATCAAGAAGTGCTACTACGACACAACAGCCAGATGATGCATTCTTAGATATGCTAATGCGTTGTCAAAGTTCACGTCTAGAAGAACAACGTTCAGAATTACCACGTTCCAATATAACAGAAGATGCGGAAGCTGCTGCACCAACACGTTCACGTTCAGCACGAGCTGGAAATAGTAGTGCTGGTGGTACTACAGTGCCAGATGAAGATTTCTTTTCGTTGATCATGAAAGTTCAAAGTGGCCGTATGGAAGATCAAAGAGCTGCTATACCTTTTAATACACGTCCAGCTGCCAATGGAACAGTCGGCAGTGGTGCTAACTCACAAAGCAATGCAAATGCTAAGTAAAAAGTTTGAATTGTTCACTTTTATATATATTTTTATATTTATATAATAATTTATTTGTTTTTTATACATACAGTAGTTGTCCAATATAATGAATATGTAATTTAACGAACTGCAAAGTTTTGTCATTAATGAATACATAACTCGTATTTGAATATAAAGGATAATTTCACATCAAATACACCTATATTTTTCGTTTTAATGAATGGGCTGTTCAAAAAACCGACTACTGTATATAAAAACACTGTTTCTACCAATACACAAACATCGTAAATTGTACCAAAACTCTTCCAATGCATATTTTATTATTATATACGTATTTTTACAACAAATATTGTATTTACAAATATTAGTCATTTTAATATGTTATGATATTAAGCTAAAAAAATTCTATATACAATATATATAGATTTAAAATTTATATAATAAACTTTTTCCTTAGATTAGGTAATGTCTATTTCAAAACAAAAAAAAAATACTATTGAATTTGTTACAATAACAAAAAGGAAACTTACCAAATGTTTGCATTTTTAAAATTAAAATCAATAAATAAAACAATAATGTCCATATTTTGCATTTAACACATTAAATCTACAAATCATATAGTTTAAATTATTAAAACAAATAAAAAATATTATAAAATAAGAAGTCGCATTATATATGAGTATCTTCTTCAAGCTAAGTTGCCAGAACAATTTAAAAGTTTAAATGCAAAAATAAAAATAATGACTTTTGATTTAAAATATAAAAAAACCTCTGGCTGGTTATAACATAAAGAAAATATTTTCAAAATTATCCATATCATTATGGCGAAATGTTTGAAGTCTTTATAATTCTTTAAACTTTGTAACTTCAACAATTTTAAATGAAATAAGCAATATGTATTATTTTTTTTTTAAATCAAAATGCTGAAAATATGAAATATTTTTATATAAAATAGAAAATATGACAGAACAATGGTTGATAAAATCACTGTGCAACTTTTCCATGTTCTATGCAATAGATAACTTTTTTCCATACTTTTTTACTATTTCATCTTAGGAATTAGGAAAGATTTTGAAATTATATAAAAATGTTTTATATAATAAAATGTTATATAATAAAACCCTGATTGGAGAACTAAAGTATTAAATTTATTAAAATTAATAAAAAGCGAGTTATTTGCACATTTGGCAAAACCGAAATGTTTATGCACTTAAAAAAAAAATTTAAAATAAAATATATTATATTTAATATATAAGAATTTGTATTAATAGAGTTATCGTGTTTCTAAATACGTAATACTTGCAATAATATATATAAAATATATGAAAACCAAATCCTACTCGACTATATAAATAATTTCATGTGGTTTTGCTCATTAAATTGTACATTTTTAATTCGGAAATTATGATAATTAATTCGAAATTGATTTTAATTTAAAACCAAATAGTTATCTTATTGTAACTTTTAACTAACGGACTGAGATGAAAGTTTTATGTACCAACTTCCAAAACAATCTATTAACTTTTTATATATATAATTACAAAGATATATTAAATCTTAACACTATAATATTATAATATTTTTTTAATTTTAGTACGTCCACTATCTTCATGTTTTTAATAGTTTTTATACTAAAAATAATTATTATTTAAAAATTAATAAATTATTTATAAATAAAAATAAATATAATTAATTCACTTTTTAAAAAGTAGTTAAATGGTTTATCTTATAAGTTAGTAGTTCTTATATTCAGTATTTCTTTCAATAAATTTCATTTAGACAGTCGCGTAAAACAAAATCAGTACCAGTAGCAGATGTGAATAGCCCATTATTTAGTTTTAAATAGAGACAAAACTGCCATTGGGTTTCCACGATCCGATCATTATCATAGGACTAAACCTATTAATACAATTTTAGTATTAGAGACAAGTACTTGCAGAAGCGAGTTACTATTTTACAATGACAGAACTGTCATTGAGCTTCCACGATCCGATCATTATCATAGGACTAAACCTATTAATACAACTTTAATATTAGGGACAATTACTTGCAGTAGCGAGTTACTACTTTACCTATTATATTGCAGATGTGAAGTACTTGGTTGCCTTTCTAACAGCTACGGCAAGAGTCAATGAAGTGAATATTAAACCACCTAGCATAATTTGGGGTACCAATAATGGGTCTCCAACCTATTTATAGTGGTCACCCTATTTCTTTCTATATAAGAAGGCTGGACTAGCATACTGACTTTCATCATTTTGGTGATTCTTATCATCTTGTATTAAACTAAACTATATGTTGAATACATTACATACTCCTACTCAATGGTCCTTGCTTACGATATTCATGTCATCAGAAACCCATAGAAGAAAAATATTGAATGACATCTATACCTCGTTTTTAGATGCATAATACCCATATAAATATATGTAATATATTTCCTACTTGAAGGCAAGCTGTAACTTTCTTCACAGCGCCAACTTCGGCACAAAAGAAACTTCTAGTCAATAGATAAAATAATAATACAAAATAACAATATATATCAAAAACCTTAAAGAATATTGTAGATTGGAAACGATTTTTCTAATATTCTGATAAAAGTAAAGATATTCTTACCTTTTATTCTTGCTTTTGCGAAAATTAAAACTCTGTATGTAAGTAATTAAAATTCATAAATAATTATTTATTTTTTGTTAATGCTTATATGTAATTAGAAGGTATATGATATAAATTAAATGTATTGATAAACTAAATATATTTACAATGTTTAAATAAGTTAATTTACATGATATGTACTTAAAGCTAAACTTATGATTGAAGCAATCTTGACTACAAATAAATCTAACATAATCTTCTGCCAACATTACAGATTTTCCTACTCAAGTAATTATATATATCTAAGATCGCAAAAACCTTAATAAAGCTATATTATGGAACCGATGGTGGTAACTCCTTTGTCTCTACATTCGATTTGGAACTATCATTTCCTTTTTGAGCATCAAACACGAAAATCGGTGTTGCAAATTCAATTGCTTTGCTCTTACTACTCTTAATGCTTTTGATTGGACGTATTGGATACATATAGTTAACGAAAGCCATGTGACTTCCTCGTTTAAGCATCAGGTAAACAATGGAGACGCTAACCAAGAATGCAACACCAGTCGCCAAGATAAAAATAATATATTGCATATTATTTTCTGTTGACAAAATAGGTGTCCCAACCATTGAAACTCTACTATGATACGTGAAGTGTGAATTATTACTATTAGTTTGTAAGTGTCCACCAACTAAATGAAAATTTCCTGAGGCGATGGCTGATTCCAGAGAGTGCGCCACATGTAGTTTGTTGCCATCGTTCAGTTGAAATCGTACCACAGACTTACCTTCAACATTTTCATGTACTCGCAGATTTTCCATTTTTGTGCCTAACATTTCTATTAGTTCGGCACGAACTTTTTCGTAGAGATCACGTGGATTTTCCTCGGTTTCTTTATGCATATGTAGCTCTACATCTACCGAGTGGATTGGCGTTTTTAAACAACGACCACGACCTTTCGGAAATGTGGAGGTTGTATTTAACGGATTACCAGCTTCGTCAACACACCAGCATAAAGTATCGTCACATTGTGTTGGCATGAAGCCACCTTGATCGTCACAAGTAATTGGATATGTAGCAGTTTTAGCAAATTCATGGCAACGTGTGGAGTTTACTTGTAAGGGTTTCATAGTTTCAACACTCAATTTTGAGTCTAGTAACGAGTTAGATAACTCTAACACACGTTCTGTTACTGCTATGCTTTCCTTAGTACTTTCTACAGCTTCATTATCGGGTTCCAAATGCTTACTTCTGGCAGCTTTTTCACGCTCTTCTTGTTGTGCTTCTCTCGATGCTTCAACTAAATCGAGGACATTGTCTATCTCATCTATACTCGTCATATGTGTAATAAGATCTTCCATTAATCGTTCACCTTCAGTGTACTCACGTTGTGCTCTTCCTTGTCGACTATTGCAGGTTGGTTCAATATCGCGTGTAAGTGTACCTTTAAGTGGAGCACCTTTCTTATCTGCGCACCAACAAACGCCGTACGGTGATTGTATATCTGACATTATTGTCACATTTCTTTCACTACCAAACGCACGACTCATACCTTCTACATGATGCTTCTGTAGCGGTGAGTCCAATGCCGGTTGTTTACCTAAACATTGAACAGGACTCCAATTGCCGGTTACAGGATCACAACTCGGTTGGAACCATACTGAGCTGTGTCCAGTTCGTTGTGCTGCGAGACGATTTTTCAACTTAAGACGTTCGCATTGCGTTAGCACTGTAAAAGAATATAATATAAATTTTCTACTACAATTGTACCAAAAATTCATAAAGCTTACCAGGACAAACGGAGTTGCAAGCTAGTTTATTGTGGAATAAGTTTTTGGTCTGACAGAGACTTACGTCAAGATCTATATCAACAGCGATACATTTATTTGCTTTTGGACTAAAACGATATCTCGTTGAATTACGTAAAGAAGTGCCGGTGGATAAACAGATATTATCCATTGATTCAAAGCAAACATCCCCTGTAATTATATTTGACATCACAACTTTTCCACAGAAAAATATTTTTATACTTACTAGTTTTCGTACAGCAAACACCTCGATTACTAACTGGATTCAACTGACAGGTATGCGTTGTTGGACATATTTCATTTTCGTTATGTGGTCCGCAACTAACTTCAGTATCTCCCTGTTTAAGCGGGTTGCCTTCGGGACATATTGAGTCTCGTTTAGGTACACAAATTGGCATTTTAGGACAAGGAGCATCAACACATTCTATATTAATGAGCTGACATTCCTCATCACTGGAGCAATTGATTTCGTTGCAATAATCGCGACATTCGCAAGTTTGACAGCCATTCTCATCTACGCGATACCCAGACTCGCATTCCGATTCACAGTTTAATATTTCACATTTAAATGCTGAATTGATTTTGCAAATGGGTTTACTACCCTTAATCCGAGTTCCACTTATTTCTTGTCCTTTCTCTGTTACGCACCAACAATACCCATCGGGTGCACACTGCACCTCTTCCCATTTTCCTGTAATCGGATCGCATTGTGCTATATGCATCTTCATTGCTGGTATGCCCAATTCCGAGGACTGATGAATTTGTATGCCCTGCAGATGCTGGCAAGCAGTTTTCATTTGTGGCTGCACGCATTGTGTGCCACAACCATTCGAACAGCAACGCTGACTACCTTCACAGTGTGCATCGGTGCGACATTCATACGCACATGTATTTGTATCTAAGTCAGATCCGGGTGGTACCAAATAAGGACATTGACCAGGTTTTCGTGGCAAACACGCTGGCACTGGTGGACAGTATTCTTCGTCACATGAAACATCTACAATACGACATTCTTTGCCATCACCACAAGTGACACCATCGCAAGGGTCACGACATTGGCAGGCAGGACAACGTGTGTTGGGGTCTATTTGAAAGCCATACTCGCAACCCATGCGACATGTTAAGTCTAAACAATCTATTTGCTCTCTTAATTGCACACACATTTCATTCGATACATTAAAGCTACGTGAACGCGGAATTTCTGTACCAAAACTATCTACACACCAGCATTCCTCTACATCCATTTCAATTAATTCGTTATCGTTCAATGGCTTCTTTGCTGCTGGCTGTTGTTTCTTAAAATCGATTTCAAACAGCTCGCCAAGATGTTGTTGCCGATTACTACCCATATCAATAACCTTGGCACTACGCGTCATGACTGGAGCAGCTGCTTGTACCTTCAAAACATCATCACTAACTCGATAAAGCTTCAAGCGGTCTGCAACATCTCGTTTAGAACGAGGTGCATTAGTAGATATACTGTCGAGTAACATACGCATCCGACGGATTGTATTTTCCTCCAATATTTTACGTTGTTCTGCACGTGTTACTTTAATTTTGCGCATAGCACACTGTTGTTCCTTGTAGCTGCCATCATCAGTGCAATGAGGCGGCGGTACGGCTAATTGCATTCCTTCCTCTGTGCCTTCCATGCGTTCAGAAAAATCGCGCAGATATTCACACACTGCGTAATATAGAATTGAATTACATGAGATGAATGATTAATTTATATATGCCTACTTACTGGTTTGCTGATGTTGGGAAAGTTGTTCTTCGACTTTAGTTACTTCCGGCAATGGACAACAAATACTTTCTGCTTCGCGATGCAATTTAGTGCACTTGTAGTTCTCTGGACACATAATACGATTTGTCATAGAACGCGCCTGTTTTGATTCGGGTTCAGGCTCGAAGAAAGCAGCTGGCTGGAAGGTACGTGATTGACGTTCTGAAAATTATTAGAAATTATAAGTTGTTTGCCATTAAATAATACACGAATTTTAGTTTTTATTTTTTAATATTTACCATCGAAACAGTACATTACTTCCCCGGTTGCATTATCAGATAGAGGAGTGCCAATTTCACAGGGATTAGTGTAAGCTAGGTCAGGCTTACATACCGGCCAAGATGCACATAATGCCGAACCAGATTGACAAAGTGGATCAGTGGCTACTTCACAATGGGAACCCATGGCACACTTAAATCCTTCGCAGGGTTCAGCACATTCGCATGTGGGACAGCCATTATGGTCATTCTGTGGGAAATTATGTTATATTTAAGTATTATATCAATAATGGTATATACTTGTAGGCTTACCTTAAATCCATACTCACATACTGCAGCACATATATTTGTATCACATTGCTCTGTGCTAAAACTACGTCCCACAGATCTACTAATCATATTTTCCCAGCCATCGCAGTTCACATTATTTGCTGCTCCCATAGAACCTTCGATTTTATGTCCAGTCCGTGGATCTACACACCAGCAAACTAAACCATTACGAGAGCATTGCCTTGGTGAAAACATACCATTTGCATCATTGCATTCAGGTGCATAGCCACGGCCTTCACGTTCGTTTATAGCTAACAAATCGGAGAGAGCTCGTGCTTGATTGCATGTGGTTACATTGTGCGGTTTCTGACAATTAAATTGGCATCCTTTAGTAAAGCAACACTTTTCCATATGTGGACATTCGAGATCATGGGTACAAGGTGATCCACACATGTAACCAGTACGTTCACTATATTCTATTTTATCAGTAGCAGGGCAAACACCGGGCTTTTGGAAATTCAAGGCGTTTGGACAACAAACTCCATAATCATTTCCAGTTTCGACTACACATTTATAGAGAGGTGGACACTGTGGCTTACCAGCTTCAAGTCCACATAAGAAAGGTCGTATACTATCCTCTATAGCTAAAGGCATACCAGCAGGACAGTAATTAGCAATAGAACGTGCTTTCTTACACGTCGGTACTGAAGGACATGGTTCTGATTTGCATTTTACCTCCTGAACTTGACATGTTTGATCATTTGGACATTCTAAGCCATCACAGGGATCACGACAACGGCAAATGCTGCAACCTGTCTCTGGATCTCTAGCAAAACCAGACTGACAAAACATTCTACAAGCAGAAGCTGGACAATTTTCAGGTTCTTCGCAATGAACATTTAATTTCGTTTCATTAAAGGTACCAGGAATTTCCACACCATATTCATCAACACACCAACAATCGGAACTTGTCTTCTCATTGCTGCATTGTATAGACTCAAAGTCGCCATTTTTGTTGCAACGTGGTATGCGCACTGTGTACCCATAGGGACCAGACAAGGCTTTAGCGCGCCGTGCTTCCGCTCGTCTTAAATGCTGACAAGCTGTGAGTGTAGCTGTAAAGTAAGTAAATAAAATATTTTAGTGAGGTTTCTCAGATCACTTAACAAGTTTAACTATAAATACTTTTATTAATATATATAAATTGTATATGTATATATTTATAATTAACTAAAAACTGCCTATATGTTAATAATTGTTATAAATATAAAAGTCTTTAAAATTTTTTGAATTTATTTATCGACCTATTTTTTTATAATGGTTTTTATATATTTTTTAATCTCGCTGACGATCTAACATAAATTAATGTTACTAAAACTATATCTACGTCATCCTCTTTATTCTCTCGTCTATATTATAGTGCCTATGCTAGTAATATTGATTTATATTAGATCGTGATCCTAATGATGATTCTCAAGTAGAGCCGCAAGATAGAGTATAAAGTCTTAAAAAAAAAAATTCAGAGTTTTGACAATAATTTCTGTTTATTCCCGCACTATCAATGCAGTAAGCCACCGAGTTCACTGTGGGAATAATGCTTCACTAGTTGATTTGAGTGTATGTTAAAGTATATAAATTATACTGGAGACTATTTTGAAAAATAATAAAACAATTAGTAAATTTTAAGATTTATTTAGTATCACTAATATTAGCGATCTATTTTATCTTATTTTATTTTTAAACTTTATTTAGTGTAAGTTACGAGTAATTACTTCCTTGCTATATCTTACCTACTTGAATAAATTTATTTTTGTTGTGTTCAGTCCAAATCACGAGTCAGTCATCCATATCTTACCGCATCTTTATAGTGCTTTTAACCTCATTTTAGTAGCAATTTTGATTAGTTTTTAAAAAATGAGCTTGAACTCTTATCAGTTCTGGAATGTATTCATAGAAAAACCCATACCGGTTTCACTTTTTAAAACGTGCCAAACATTTTAAACAGTAATGAGGCGAGTTCAATGCAATTTCAAAATGCCAAATCACGTATTTAAATAATAAAAAAATAATGTATGAGCAACTCATTGTCAAGTAATTTCAAATACAACAACAAATAATTTCAACTAAGACTATAGTTTGTTATTACTCAATATATATTTAAATATATGTGAGTAGGTATGTAGATGTACAAAATAATATTCCAACTTGTGACTTAGAGTTCATAAGCTTGCAAAGATTTTGCATTTTTAGTATTATTTATAGATATACTATACAATATATTGTATATTCAGTATTATACGATATTTGTATACAGCCAGTCATACAGTCAGTCTTCTATTATATATTTTTTTATATTTATTTTTATGAATAGTCATATGTATAATGTATTTGTTAATTTAAATGCTCATATTATTTGCAAGCTGTAAGCTCTTTTATCTCATTTGTTCGGTTGCACTTGGCGTATGAGTAACGTTTTTTTGAAAATGAAAATAATTTTTCAATAAAATCAATTTTCATGTATTTTTTATTTTTATTACAAAAATAAAAAAAAAAAATTTGGTGTATTGAAATGTTTGTTTGAATAAGCTTGTTATGTCATTTTTGAAATCATTTGCAATTGTTATATGAGTTTTAAGCAATTTCATTTAAAATGTTGCTTCAGTTTCATTCACAATTGTCGAAAATAACATTTTTCTTTGTCTGACTTCATTTTTTGTTTACTGTTGCATAGAAATTTCAAAAATTTCAAAAAAATCGAGTTTGTTGGCTTTGTTATTTTACTGACTCACTGATTCATTCAATTACTTGCTCCATGCAAGTTAAGTCATTGTTATACTTATTATTGCAACAATTTCCACTGTAACATGTAATTACATTTTTGTAAATATGATGAAAGATAAGTTAAGCAGATTTAAGTATCAATGAACTAAGTGAATTCACACTTTATTAAAGTGTAAAAAAAAAAAATTTAAGTCAAAACCTTTTTATCGGTATGTCTATATGGTTCGAAAACCTGGCTTGCTAACTCCGAAATCGAAAGAAGATTGCAATCATTTATCAATCGATGTCTGCGCAACATATTAGGCATATGGGGGCCTAAAACGATTTCAAATGAAGAGTTGTGGAGAATAACACACCAAACAAATGTAAGCAACCAGATAAGAAGAATTGGGCACATACTGCGATTTCGCACATGCTGCACTCACTTGGAACCCCTAGGGGACTAGGCGCAGAGGCAGACGAGCAATGATCTGGAGAAGGACAGTTCAGCAGGAGACGGGCAAATCGTTTATTTGCCACGCTTATCCATTGTATCACAATAAATCGTTATTTCAGTATAATCGGCTTTGTGCACAAGGCCGCCACTTTAACCTAACCAGCCTTTATAGGCAGTACCATCAATCTATTTTGGACATATCAAGCATACGCATAGGTGGTAGTTTTAAATCATCGTAGTCCTTTTAAAAAGGAATACTTGGAAGGAAAGTTAAAATTGGCTCACATAAATAAATTACAAAACTAATAATTAAAATTTGTTTAAGCAATAATAAAAAATTGTTTATATGGTATAAAGAAATTAATGCTTTGCCTAGATAAAATCATAAAACTTTCAGTTTTTGGTTTAAGAAAAAGTCTTTTAAACCTTTAAACCTATTTAGAAGTAATTTTTTTATTTATTAATTAATTTATTTTATTTATTTGATTACTCTTCGTTAGGTTTATTGCTATTTTATTAATTATTAGATTATTAATTTTAATCCTTTTAAATTTGGTTTACTAAACACAAGCTTATTCATTTGGTTATTAGTATTCATTTAGCACTATCTCATATATTAACTTTTTTCAACTCTAAATACAGTTATTTTATTAAATATTCCACCTTATGTAGCTTTTAAAACGAATTTAAAAAAGTAGTGCTCGAGTAAAGCACAAAATTAAGCATTGGCTTTATACTATAAATAAACGCGTTATTAATTGATAACGCGTTTATTTGGGTTAACTGTTAATTTTATTCATTAATGTATTTTATTAATCAAATGCTTTTTTTATGAATTATTAATATTTCACTCCTCAAGAGTTGATAATAAATTAAAATATAACAATAATATATAATACTATATAATTATTATTACAAAGAGTGAATCATAGCTTAAAATACTTATCGATCTCAAGGTGGTTTATTCTCTTTAACCCTCTAGCTATGCTACTTAGGTCAATATAGCACAATAGTGTTTCTATGAGAATTTTCGCTTGCCAATGAGCGATTTGCAATAGCCATAAACTTATGGTCAATAAACATTTTCTGGAAGTCTAAGCGTTCCATTTGGCAATAGCCTTACTAATGTCTGTAGAGCATAACACGATTTTGCAATAGTGACCAATACTGTCATAAAACAACGGTATACAGATATAGACAGACATTATAGTTTGCCATTAATATTATCTTTTTCTTTTTAATATGATGAAAACTGTAAGCAAACTGGCATTGTACCTGTCAGTACATTAATAGCCATGATAGCTTCATTTTTGAACACTTTCAGGTACGTCATATTATACTATATTTATGTGTACTTGTATGTATGTATATGTATCCTAAATTTAGGTTTTTTAAGTTGATTTAATAAGGCCATACGAGTATTTTTTACCTTTGGTTGCATTGCAAAATCTATAACCTCGAAGTCACCGTCTGCTGATTCATTCGTTTTATTTATTTTTTTTAATTCTGTGAAAAATTAGCATAAGTTTTAGATAATGTAACCTTAGCTAATAATAATAAAAGTTATTTTTAAATAATAATGAATTAATTATCAAATTCAAACCATAGTTTTGTGTCATATTGATATTATTATTGCAGCCGTTATTATTAATTTTATTGTTTTTGTAATATACGTAAGTGTGTTTGTGTATGTATAAATATATATAAGTTCGTATTTCATTTAATAGTAAATTTAATACTTTTAAATAATATTTTTATAAACTGCAGTTTATTAAATAACATTTGAGAAACTACGAATTAAGATGACTTTATTGTACTAAATTTTATGTAAATTAATTAATTAATTTTTAATGAAGTTTAATTTTGGATAAATTCATTAGTTTTTTAAATATAGTTTTGTATATTATTGTATATTTTATTATAATATTTTATTTCGAACTCATTTAATGATATCATTTCACCATATAGAGACCACTCTTCTACATGAATATCCAATTAATTGTGCCACAAGTGATGCAACCTAAGCTGAGCACGTAAACAAGTTCATAGGCGATAATGATCAGTTTTCATTTTTCTGAATTAATGAAAATTAAGAGTAGTTTGACTGGTAATCTTTGTAGGCCATAATCGAAAAATAAATGCTAAAGAATCAATCAGTTAGAACTTACTGCCGGTCATGGTGGTTTAATAGTTGCGGTATTTACTTAACAAACTGTAATGTGACCATCACATATATTAAATGTGACCATAGTGAAATGTAAAAATGTGAATAAATATTACTATATTTTAACTATATAGAATAGTTGTAGAGTGTGTATTCGACACTTGAACAGATTTTGGTGATTTACTATAATATGTAGTTTATGTAGCTCGTACTTATGAGATTAATAAAATTTAAAGAGCAAATTTATGATTATTGAATATAATTAACTGTTAGTTTCACAAAATTCTACTATTATTATAATTTTTCAAAGATTATAAATATAAATATCCAAGTATTATTGGATATTTATAACTTATAATAGATTCTAATAGAAGTAACTGATATTAAAACCTGATATCATTTTACACGAAAGCAGTAAGATCTCACCGAATTTAATATCAGTAATATATATTAAATATATTTATATCTTCAATAGTATATAGTAAATTATTTTTTTCAATAAGTTTATAAATTTTTCTTACTAAATAAAATTAATTGAGATAGTAATTCATTGTTTCAAGAAATTAGAAAATCAATATGGGACAAAGGTTTAACTACTCCATTTTTAAATGACTTATCGAATCAAAAATATTTATATAGGGCGCCAAAGAGAATGGCAGTTATGAGAATCCAGAAAGCTTATGTTTTAAAATTTATATGTATTTAATCCTATTCCTTGTTTCCTAAATTAAACCAATGTCTAAGAGGTAAGACGTTTTTAATTTAAATTAGTATTTTATTGAATCTTTAAATTCATGTTGAGTATCAAACTTTTTTCAAATCTTAATTAATTAAAAAAAATATTTTTTTAACTCATTTTATTGTTATATATATAAATTTTTTGCATTTTTTTTGGATACTTTTAGAATAATATTTTAATTATTTAAAAAGAGTAGTAATACTTCGAACTTTTTTGATTTCTACATAAAAATAGTAGAAATCGTTAGATTTATTAGATATTTTCAGTAGATACTCATTGATGCAATTATATATCCACTATCATCATCGGAGATTTGTTGTTGACTTCGTCATTACTTGTGCAAATAGGTGGGAGTGTAGTATCACTTTTAATAAATGGTATCTAACTAATACTGCATTCAAAAGAGAGTTTTCTTTGTAATTTTAGCTGTCATGTTTGTAATTTTAGCTGTGAAATGTTATTGCTTTCAATGCAAAATGAAAATGTTTGACAGCTAAAATTACAAACAAAATTTTCCGTTGAATCTAGTATAAAATTATTTATCTTTGATTAAAAAAATTTTTTTTTCATAACAAAAACTCAATGTACCTGTTGTACTACATAATACATATTTGATAAAGACATTATTTCGAAAAGTAGTGAACTACAATAAAAATTCTTTTTATATTATTTTAATTAATTGAATTTTTAGCTGACCATACAGCTGTTACGAGTATGGCCAAATATTCATCCTCAGTGATCTTGGAAGTAATTCTTGTATTTAATTATTTATAAATAATTTTTTGAGAATGCAAGTACCAGGAATTGAACTTATGCCCTGTCAAATTTAAAGCTCAGAGTCAGCGCTCCTTAACCAACTGACCCAAAACCGTACTTGACTCTTTATGTTTTGTTAATTTGCTGTGAAAGTTAACAAATTAACAAATTTACGTGCTGTGTTTATATTAGAAAGAAATCATAAACCAGCTGTAGAATAATTGAATTAATTAATTATATTTTTTTTAATTGTTTAATTTCAATACTATTTTCTTTGTAATATTTGATTCATAGGGAACAAAATATTTGATTTATAGGGAAGCGAACAAAAGAACGCATGATAAATACATTGAAAAATTTTATCGAAAACTTGAGTAATAACATTAAGAATATTATTACTTTCTAAGAAAAGTTCGCAGGTTTCCCACTTCTGTTTGATCTGCTCAGCAAGAAGTGAGGTGTACTTGTCTGCACACAAAAGAAATAGAAAACTTGTACCGACAATGCAAGGCTTAAGTTAGTCAAGAACGAGTTCGTTGCTTGATTCTCTCCACTTAGGCAAAGACAGCCGGAGTGTCTAAAGGCAAATCAAAATCAAAATCAAAACTGAAACAAAAGGCAAAGGTTTTAGCTTTAAAGCCAGTTAAAAGCATTAAACACGGGCAATGCGGGGCAATGAAAAGCAATGAAAAGAAAAAAATTCAAATTCGTTACATTTACGGAATTGTACTATGACTAGTTGATGTTAACTGCATGTCTAAGCTTTACACTGAGTGAAGATGTTACCAGACTTAGCACGCTTGACCGACTGACACAGTGTTTGTGCTTTTATTACTCTTTGCTTAGATTTTTTTTTGTTGTTTTTTAGTTGTACTCTGTACCTTTTCCGGTGTTTTTTGTTTTACTGGTACATAATGTTGTGCGCATGTGTGTGTTTGTGTGTGATGTGTGTAATGTTTTAGCCTATAACGGAAAAGTTAGTTGGAGTAAATATTTGTATATTATTTTCCTACAATGGCAACACAACACGCAACTTGTGTGGCGTTGTGTAAACGTGTTGCAAGGTTTACATATACGAGTGATATGTGACTTTATGGCGAGTAGTAGTTGTGTAGGCTTCTATTGACAGTTAAAAAAGATATTTTAATTTTAATTTAAAGCTACTTAAGTGTTTCTTTTTTTTAGAGATTTATTACGCCTCACATGATTTTGGTCTAATTTTTAGGAAATAAATTTATTTTATTTTATTTTCTCATTATTTATCAAAATAAAATTCGTGATAAATTTGTTTAGTTTCAGCAATATTTTTATTATTTTTTTTTAATTTTAAAGTAATTTTTTTCATTTTATATTGTTTTTAAATTTCCTCTTAGCATTTTATAAATAGCATAAATTATTTAAAGTATTTTTTATTGTATTTTGGCATTATTTTATTCCAGTGCGAAGCGTTTTTACCACACGAATTCACTACATGAAACTTCAATTAAATTAAAAAAAATTTAACTATTGTGCTTAAACTGCGCGTATCTTAAATTAATTCACTACGGTGTTTTTGAATTTTTTGGATTTTTAAAGAAGTGTGACTGTAAGTAGTGAAAAGCTTTCATATTACTTTTAAATGTTCCGCTGCTATTATTAGAATATAGGGCAACTATCGAAGACATAGACATCAAGTCAATGACATCAAGAAAAACAGACATTATTAATACAATAATTTTTTTTTCTACAATTTTTATAAAATAAAATTTAAAGAAAGTGTCTTATAAGGAAATTATTCAGATTTTAAGCTCACGGAATCACCGTAGGTGCTTTAGGTGCAACATGAGCATATGAATTCTTTAATTTGATTTATTTTTTTATAAATATTTTTACTCAAGTCATTGACTTTATTGCATATATTTTAAAAGAAAAAAAAAAGAAAAAAATACACTTATAAAATTTATATCTTTTTGATTTTACTCACCATTGGAACGGCGTCTCGCTTCAACTTCTGTTGTCAATGCACATGCAAAGATAAGTGCAATAACCGTGAAGAGTTTCAACCATCTCTGATCGTAGTGTGCCATATTCGATGTAAGCCAATTTCCAAAATTGCATTAACAAAACAGGATACCAAGTAAAATGTATGCTGTGCCCAAAAGCAGAGCAAATGCTGCGTTTATGTAATTCGGCAAGATCAAAACAGTAAAGCAGCTTAAAGTTTGTTGGTGAATTTCTTTATACACTGAAAAAAAACAAGTTCAAAATTGTATAAATTTTTATATTTCAAAGTTGTCTTCTTTAATTAACATAAGGTAAAAAGAGTAATATGCTAATGTAGATCTTATAATTACAGTAAATATCTAAAATTTAACTTAATCAAATTTATGCGGTAAAACTAAATAACTCTCTTTATCTATCTCCCTCCTTTCTGTCTTACTTTCAATTTATCTTCATATGACTATCTTTTACTTCCCTTTTATTAGTTGTTTTTCCTTCTTTTCTAACTTTTTTTTTAAATTTTTATTCGTACACCAGCACTTGCTCAATTTCCTAATGATACAGTACTATATAATAACTCTTCTTACTCTTAGAACAGAACAATTATGACAGTTATCTGGGCTTTTAGTAAAACAGAGCACTATAACAAACTCACCATTCTCAAACAGAAGGTATTTAAAAATAATGGACATAATGCCTCTCATTGAGGAGTTCGAAATGCTAGACACTCGATCATACGCTTCAGAAGAAAATGTATGCTCTTCTTAACAGATATCAAACCAGAAATGTGACTCAAAATTTCATCCCCTTTCTTCTATCTCCTAAAACAAACACATCTTGATCCAGTCGGGCAGACTAAAGTGATTGCATTACTCTGGCAAAGATCGAAGATGGAGAGTTACAGAAAATATCACGAAAATTTTAATCTACTTCTTTCCGTTATCTAAGATAGGTCAATATTGTTAAATTGATTGCACATGCTTAGGTAACTTTATTACTTTGAAAGAGATAAAAGATGAACAGTTACAAAGAAATTGACTGAAAGTCCAATTCATTCCTTTTATCACTTAAGACAGACCAATCTTGTTGAGTTGATAGCGCAGAATAAGTTGCCTGTATTACTCCGACAGAGATAAAAGCTGGACAGTTACAAGAAAATTCTTTAGAAGTCTTATCTACTTACTTCTATCACCTTAGACAGAGCTATCTTGTTATGACTAAGGTGACTGCATTACTCTAGTAGAGAACAAAGGCGGACAGTTTATAGAAATATGACTAGAAGTCTGATTCCCTTCTTGCTGTTATCTTGTTGAGTTAGTAGAGTAGACTTAGATGACTGCATTACTCCTGTGCATACTTGTGAGTATACTATTTCTGTATATACAAAATATGAGTGTTATGAGTCCAAGAAAGATACTACCTATATTTTAGATTAAAGTGACATGTCAAGTCTTTATCACAATATATATATTATTTACTGAATGAATAACCAGGAGTCTTGTTGATTTGGTTATGTAGAAACTCGATGATTCAGCTAAAAAGGTAATTAAAGCGACGATCAGATGAAGAAGACGAAGAAGAAAATGAAGATATAGAAATTCGATGGTTCAGCTAAAAAGGGAGTTAAAGCGTGGATCAGATGAAAAAGACCTAGCGAAAAATTTGTTATAGTAAGCAAGTTGAAAAAGCATTGCATTTCACTGCTATCAACATTTATGAAGAAACTTGACTATTTAAAGTTTATGAGCTAAGTTTATCTCTCTCAACTAACATTGAAGAGATTAGAATAGATGGAGCTACTGAATTAATTGTAGGTTGTTATTGATGTACCGATATTTTTCAAATGTTAATAATTTTGTTTACTTGGTAGCTTTCGATAACATGTTAATTTTCCAAAAAAAATCCAAAAAGGAAAGATGTTTAGTAGATAGTTGCAAATATCAGTTTCTTTCATTTGTTATTATCGCCGCTTTCAAATAAAAAGGTCTCCACAAAAAGTTACATGGAGATATATTAATCATATCGTTGTAGAAATCTGTTTCTCACATTTATCATTACAGTGTTTAACAGGTGTATATCAAGGGGTAAGATATAGATTATTTCAGTAATTGTGCAGAGTATTGTCTTAGGTGCACTATCTCGTAAAGTGATTCAATTTGAAATTTTTTTTGCATACTTTTTAATCATAATTTTTCTATAGTCTTTTGTTCCCAAATAATTTCTCCCACCGAAAATTAGTTCCTCATACCCATCAGTCTCATGCAATATGACTGACATGTGTGCCATATATGTAACTGTGGTCTCATCCATTGTTTTCATTATAGTAGTACATATTATAAAACAAACTCCTGGCTGCTTTTTTATTATTTCGTGGAACTAATTTATTGCCATATTATTTACATTATTTCATTATTTATGAACATCTGACTTACAATTTTAGCTAATTTTTTATTAATAAAATTTAATTTACATAAATTCACGCAAACTCAGGCGACCAGTGACGTCAATCAAAGAGTTGGAGTATAGAAAAAAAGATTTTTTATATATGTGTAATATGTATAAGTATAAATTTATCCATAATATTATTTATTTTAAAAGGTGTTAAAATTTTTGGTCAATATGTAAATAAGGCCGTGTGTGAGCTTCTTTATACAATGAGATACTTTCACTATCGTTTCATTTTTATTTACAAAATATATTTAAAATTTTTTTTTTTATTGATTTTATATAGAAAGAAATTTTATTAATATTTATTAAGTTATTTCGAGAATTCATTGATTTTTTGTTTTTTTTTTTGTTATTTTAACAACAAAATAAAAAGTTGTTTTAGTTAATTACGCAACCGCACGCAAGTAAAAAGATAAAAATCGAAAGCAAAAATGCAAGTTTGTCTTTGAAACTTTTTATTTTATGCAATCAAATTAGACTTAAGATGTAATTTTAAATATAACACATGAAAAAAACAAAAAAAAAAATTAAACATAAATAAATGTTATCAAAGCATTAAGAGCACATAAAGTTCAACTAGATCGTCGTAAGTTAACAATCAATCTGCGGCGCTTAATTACACAAAATGTATCTGCGGCCGCTGCTCCACGATGATAGTGATTACATTCGCAGATACATTTGCAGATACCAGTGGTTTTGGTATCTGAAGCGACAACAACAACAAAAACAAAAACAAAAAAAATTATTTTATGTTGTTGCCGTTGATGATTAATCCGTGCTCATGCACTCGCTTTCACTTTGCAGCCAACCGCCGACCGAACATTAGCCAAGTCAGTCTTTGGCTACATTTTTTGCCAATTTTTCTACCAATTTTTTTATAAATTTTTTTTTAATTTTTTTTATTTTTTTTTTTGAATTTAGTTGAAGTTTTATGTGCGCTACTTTTTCTTGGAATAACGTTTGGTGTGTCGTATGATCTAAAGTATTTTTCTGTATTTAAAGTATCTGATGTGAATGCGCTGAAAGAAATTCATATTCAAAAACATTGTCACATAAGCACAGATAAAATAATCACATGAAAGTACTTAACTGTGAGATTTGTGGAAAATTTCAAATAAAGAAATGGGTTCATTATAGTCTGAGATGAGACTCTATACTAACTTGTTATGGATACTTCCTATATTTAAGTAACAACTTTGTATTGCTAATTTAATTGAATAGAGAATTAAGATTTGAATGAAGACTTAATGAAAATTGAGTTAAAATAGACGTATATATAAAAGTACATGAGCGCACCCAGAAATCGTGAGATTTGTGGGAGATTTCAAATAAAGAAATGGGTTCGTTATAGTCTGAGAAGAGACTCTATACTAACTTGTTATGGATATTTCCTATATTTAAATAACAACTTTGTATTGCTAATTTAATTGAATAGAGAATTAAGATTTGAATGAAGACTTAATGAAAATTGAGTTAAAATAGATGTATATATAAAAGTACATGAGCGCACCCAGAAATCGTGAGATTTGTGGGAAATTTCAAATAAAGAAATGGGTTGGTTTTAGTCTGAGATGAGACTCTATACTAACTTGTTATGGATGCTTCCTATATTTAAATAACAACTTTGTATTGTTAATTTAATTGAATAGAGATTTAAGATTTGAATGAAGACTAAATTAAACTTGAATTAAAACAGACGTATATATATACAAGTACATGAGCGCTCCCAGAAATCGTGACAAGGGGTGGCAGAGCAAAGAGCAATTTTTGGGAATTATACCAACAATTTATTTATAATATAATTTTAGAAATTAGTCTAATAAAAATGTATTATAAGTTAAGAGTTCATAACAATAAATTAATCAAATAAATTCCACCTAATAAAAAAAGTCAATACACTAAAGTTCAAATACTATATAAGAAGGTCTGGATACGTAACGTCCAATTTATAGCGGGCATTACTTTGAAATCTAACGAATTTGTTTTTAAATCCTTCATAAAATTGCCTAAACAAGGACACGCCTATCTCTTTACTATCAATTCATTTATGGTGGGGAGCTAAAGGAAAGTTACTATTCGGAAATCTCAAGAATTTATTTCCAATAGCTCACAAAAGTTCCTTGACATACAGATGCCTATCTCTTCGCTAATGATCAATCATATTTAACGGGGACAGATAGTCCGGGAATTTTGTAAGTTTGCTTTTAATTGTTGCAAAAGTCATCTGAATATAAACGCGACTATCCTTTTCATATCGATCAGTCATATTTATGGGAGTAAAATACTCGGAAATCTCGAGAACTGCTGCAGAGGACTGTATACACATACACACGCATATATCGATTAATAACACTTAAAGTTTCCAAGAATTTCTTGAGTTTGTTCAATTGATATATACGACTGGCAGGACGTATAGAAAGCTATCCCTCTCCTGTCAATCAATTGCATTTATTGGGAGAAATTACTAGAATTCTCGTAATATTGTTTTCTCTACCCCATGAGTTTTTTTTCATTATTGAATACATTACTTCGGACACACTATTAGGTGAACCATCACCCTATATCCTCTTTGACTATGCTTACATAAAAGTATATTGCAATATTTATATATATATATGTTTTAGTACTGATTGTCTTCGATTCTATAAATGACATAAATGTAAGGATGGTTTAATTACAAGACTGCTTAGATTTTATTAGAGAAAAGAAATTGGTCTGTTTCCAAACGATCCAAAATT